GAGGCCCCGCCTGAGCGAGGAGGGCATTGGCAAACCATGCTATTTATCAGGTTTCGTGCCCCTCCGATTCCTCCAGGGATGAACGTGCTTCCTGAACAGCCGTCGTTTCCCCCTCCTTGCCTTCGTTTGCGGTTTCTTTCGCACGTACCTTTGCGATGGCCCTTCCATTCGTATTGCTATCAGTTTGCCCCACTGACCCCGCGGTGCCTTTAAACATCTTGATGTGGATCACTCCGTTCGCATAATTGTCCTAGAACCCTCTCCTTATCCTCCTCCTCCTCCTCCTCCTCCTCCTCCTCCTCCTCCTCCTCCTCTACCATACCTACCATACCATACCATACCTACCGTACCACACCATACCACCAATACCATACCTACCATACCACGCCCTCCATACCTGACCTATCATACCTGCCATTCCAAAACTAACTTACCATACAATACCTGCCTTATCATGCCCTACACTACTATACCATAGCTACCATACCAAACCATACCTATCATACCACACCTACTATACCAAAGCTAACATACCATACCTACCACTCCAGGGAGTCCACGCCAGAGAGGCCCATTCCCACTCCCACTCCTCCAGGGCGGCCCCGCCTGAGCGAGGAGGATATTCGCAAACCATGTATTTATCAGGTTTCGTGTCCCTCCGACTCCTCCAGGGAGACCCCGCCTGAGCGAGGATCGTATTCGAAAACCATGCTATTTATCAGGATTCGTGCCCCTCCCACTCCTCCAGGGAGGCCCCGCTTGAGCGAAAAGGGCACTCACAAACCAGGTTATTTATTAGGTTTCGTGCCCCTCCCACTCCTCCAGGGAGGCCCCGCCTGAGCGAGGAGGGCGTTCGCAAACCATTTTATCTATCAGGTTTCGTGCCCCTCCCACTCCTCCAGGGAGGCCCCGCCTGTGCAAGGAGTATATTCGCAAACCATGCTATTCATCAGGTTTCGTGCCCCTCCCACCCCTCCAGGGAGGCCCCGCCTGAGCGAGGAGGGTATTCGTGCCCCTCCCACTCCTTCAGGGACGAACGTGCTTCCTGAACAGCCGTCGTCTTCCTCCCTGCTGCTCCCCCTCCTTGCCTTCGTCTGCTGTTTCTTTCGCAAGTACCTTTGCGATGGCCCTTCCATTCGTATTACCATTCTTTTGCCTCATTGACCCCACGAAGCCCTTAACATCCTTATTTGGGGAACTCCGTTAGCATTATTTTTATCACGCGCCCCCCGTGTTTGTAACGACCACAAGCTGACATTACTCGTTCGACACGTCGCCAGCGTGTCGGGAAGACATTTTTGTGATCTTTTACTCTGAGTGCTCGAAACTGTTTCTGGGATACGGTCCTTAAGAGCGATGGGAACAACACAAAACCAATCAGCATTGGAGGGGTACCCTTCTGTTCTTCGTGTTTTGGGTTTCCCACTTAGATTTTTGTTGTTTGTCTCGGGTGCCGTTCTGTGGGGCCCTCGGGCCCTTGGCGAAGGGGCTGCTGATCTTGACCCGCGTTTTCGTAGCCACGTTGCGACTGACCGCGATGGGTTCGGCTGCGTCGCAGTCGGTTACGTTCTGTCGGTCCAGTCCGCTCGGCTGCCGTGTCGCTGCCGTGTCGCTGCGCCCTGCTGAGCTGCCTGCGGCCTGCTGGTTTCGGCCGGTGCCTGCTCCGCTGCCTGCTCGGTCGGCTTGCGGTTCCTGCCGCCGCCGTGGACGGCCTCGCCGGGCCGAGGGCGCGGCGGCGGGCTTCTCCTTCACCGCCGCCCGCTTCGCCGTGGTGCCGGCCTCCGCGAGGGTCGCGCCCTCGGCCCTGGTGCGGGGGGGCACGCTGCTGGCCTTCTGCGGCGCGCTCGCGCTGCTGGCCGCGCTCGGCGGCGCCGATGGAGGGGGGGCCGACGCGGGGCGCGTGAGGCTCGGAGGGGGGGAGGAGGGGCCGGGCCGCTGCCCGTGCCCCGTGTGCGCAGGTCCGGGCCTCCCAGGAGGCCCTCTTCGGCGCGGAGGGTTCCGCCCTCGAGCTCCTGGCCAGCACGCACCCAAGGGAGAGGTCTGGGAGAGCTCTTTTGGCCCCCCTGGAGAGGCGGCTGCTGGCCTGCTTCGCCCTGCTGGGTGCGGGCACGTGCCCGATGTACGCCATTCGAGGAAGGAAAGCTGCGGAGTCATAGCGCCTCGGAGCTCCGCAGCGGTGTTTTTGGGATCGGTGCAGGGGCCCCCTGGGCGTCGCTTCTGGCGCCGCCGCCGGGGAGGGTGGCCCAGCGCCGACCCAAGGAGTGCGCGCGGAGCTCCGAACGGTGGACGTGGACTTTTCCGTGGGCTTATGGCTTATGGTGTTCCAACCTACTTCAGCCTAGATCCCAAGACATAATTTCGAGCCCCAAGAAAGCAACGACACTCGAGGGTTTTCACGTGTCGGGCCCTGGGAGGCGATACTTGTTCGACACAGTTTCGATACTTCCCTGGGTGCCCGAAATTATTTCTGGGATGTGGTCCTTGAGTACGATGCGAACAG